ACGTCAGGGCTAAGTTATTCTTCTCGAATCGTGTATGGCGCAACTGAAATAAGTTGCCTTCGAACTAATGGATTAGTGGTAGACTGTGGTTGCCTTCACAGCAGGCCTAGACCTGTGCTGGCCGCGTATTTTTCCCGGAACTCATAATAATCCATTCAATTTATTCGCATTGATATCCGATGTTGACTCCGTTGTTAAAGCAAAGATTGCTCTCGTTTTATGCTTCATTTGTTTTTGCAGAGGCAAGGAAGAGGCGATCCAAAGTCGAAGTGCCGGGGCACTGTTCGCTTTACCGTACCAAAGCTAGACGCGCGTGATGTGAGAGTCCTGGTCCCCGTATGCGCGTTGACGATGGAATTAGGCAGGCAGTTCCAGTCGTTCATCGCATGAGTCGATAGGATAAAATCGGAGCGAAGCCGGAGTTTCCTAGGTTTATAAAGTTTCCAGGAGTGGCCCCGAATCGAACACTCAGTGTTAATCTGAAAGAAACCTTGGAGCTCGGTTCCCATCTTGCCTCGTGTAATGCGCCGAGCGTAGATCAGATCGCCTCAGCGACGCCGATATCCCAGGGAGAACATATTCAAGTGTTGGAGACGAATGTGATATGGCAGATGCCGGAACGCAAAGATGTGCTTAGAGCCGCGTCGCTGAACTTTCTCAAATAAGCCATGTTCAAGCTTTGGAAGTGGATGTACTGCGGGTAATCCTTATTCGAGGCTTGGACGCACATGGGAGGAAAATATAGGTCTGAAGTTCTCCGGCGTCAATGGTGAGAAGGCTTTTCAGAGAGAGCACAGTATTCTGTTAGCCACAACAACCTTCCTCAAAGTATCTTGGGTAGTTTTTAGATCACAGCATACAATAACACCAAGGTCGCTTTCCCGTTTCACCTTATTAAGCAAATAACCCCCAAGGTGGCAGATACTGTATGACTCACTAGCACCAATGGGGAATACAGAACATTTATCGCGATTTATAGGCAACTGACATTTAAGTGAGCAATTGTGCAGCAGATCCGGTGTATTCTGGAAGCGGTCAGCATCCTTAGCGCTAGTTACCTCCATCCATAACTTCAACTCGTCAGCATGGATCAAACATTCGGTCAGGAGAGTTGAAGTAAGGTCGTTAATGAATAATTTGAACAAATCTGGTCCGAGGACAGAGCCCTGAGGAAAGCCACTACTCATAAGGACGGAGAGTGAATACGTATCAGTGACCTTAACTCGCATAACTCGGTCTGAAAGGAAATCAGAGCTCTACGACAGAACCCTCCCAGAGACACCAATTGCTTGAAGTTTGAACAAAAGCCGCTCATGAGGAACTTTGTCAAAAGCTTTGCTGAAATCAAGGTAGATAACCGCCATACATTTGCCCGAATCTAATGAGTTCGCTCATTTCTCTCTGTCAACTAACAAATTAGTGGTACACGAGCTTGCCTTATGAAAGCCATGCTGAACAAAAGAAATCACACTCCGGTCGTCGAAGTAAAGGCTAAGAGCTCCCTTGAGAAGCCGTACCATAATTTTCCACATAACTGATGCTAGGCAAACGAGACGATACTTGACTAGG